GGAAGAATTTTAATACTCAATCCTTTCTTAATAACGAACTTGAGATTTATTGTTGCTCGAGATACACAAAATTGAACTGAATTGCTTCTCTCCACTTACAATGTTATCACACTCTCAAAAATTAAAAATGTTACTAACGCCGTTAACATGCGGCTAAGGCGGGCCGCATCGCAACAAAATAACTAGGTCGCTAAATCGCTTGTGAGAATCATACAGCGGAATACGCGGAGCGAATACAATGCGGAGCTGTGATGTACAATGCAAGTTTGTGTTCGTGTCGGTATGTATGAACGCTCGTGCACGTGCAAGTAGTGTGACGTCTGGCTTCGTAGTTGACGGTTTTTGTCGCGGCATGGGTCGCGGGACGCGAGTCAAGAGTGCGACGTGACACCTGATTGATTTGCGCGATACGCAGGTACACGTCAACAAATCGCAGTTTGTTGCGGTAAAGCGCGCAAGTTTTCCCCGATGTAATATAGAGAAAATCAATGCATTTTAGATACTCGATAGCCGAGAACATTCAGCAAAAACGGAGAAAATTTCACCTAATTTATCGAGGCCTGTTAGTTTAAGGAACCGACGATCGAGAACATTCAGAAGAGAAAATTCAGAAGAGGGATAAAGCACACTCTATCCTTAGAATTATGTCGGAAAGAAACAGCAAGCAAGCCGGCAGCCGAGAATGCTCGGCGTGATGGAATATCGTCACGGAAACTCTCATCGGTGCTTGCTAATCGATGGTCGAAACAGAGTACACTCTGCCTCAGATATTCCCATCGATGCAGCGATTTCTAGGATATGCCAGTCGATTACTCTTTGCGGCACAACAAAAATCGCGGCGTCAACATCAAGAATTACGTCACTGACGTATGAGAAGTCTTTGATTGCATTGAATGGATGGAACTTTAGACATAGCGGAAAAACACTTTAATTTTTGCATACCGCTCAACGTGCTATTAGGTTTTGCGAGAATTATAAATGCGTGGTTGTTATTGATTTTGATACGAGCGCGCAACTATAATTGCTTGGTGGGAAAATCTTTCGACCGCAGATCCGCAGATTGAATTATTCAAAATACAGTACAATGGCGGATGTCTTACGTTATATTAAGCGAGATCAATAAGCTATGCTATGAGCATTGGAAAACGGTCGTTATCTGAGTATGAGTTTTCGCTCTCGTATGAGTATACTCTATTACAGAGTACAACCAAACATTCATAGTCCGTCAAAACGGCGACTGAGCTTGAAAAGCCGCAATATAGGTTCTCTCTGTTCTGCAGACTGAAAGAACCGACTGAAAGAATATCATGTCTCAAGATGCTAGCTAGATTCAACGCTTGTAATTTAAGCAACGTAAAACTTTATCTATAATTTAGAATTTTATTCTTACGATGATTTGAATTTGAATTTTGGCAAAATGCGCGTTTTCGTAAAGCCTATTACGAAATCGACTTCGAAAAGTTGTTTATCGAGAAAGGATCTTTTGCGGTCATTGATTATTCGGGACAAAACGAATCCGTCAAAAGCGCCACCGTGGATGTAGGAATCTGGAGACATATGTCGGCGCTAATCATGAGATCACTGACGTGTCTTCTTTACACGCGAGTTGCGCCAGATCAAATTTATCAGATTTCAATAATGGCTGTCCCGATCGAGTTTTAAGTACACTTAATCGATAGCTTACACTCCGATTGTACTATACGTGTTTTTATTTTTTCTCTACATATTCTATAATCGGAGATCTTGTGGCGCAAAGTGCAGATCTGTTATATTTAAGATATGTCATCGTCGATATTCCGCATATTTCTTGGTTTCCTTTTGACATTCTTTATGCAAGGAACGCTAGTGATATACATGACCAGCGAGCGCTGCGCTGATCTGTACTAAGGCTTCAATAAAGCAAGTTTCTAACCCACTATGTGTTAGTGTGTTTACGTATACGGTGTGTGTGTGTGCGTGCGTGTGTGTGTGTGTGCGTGTGTGTGCGTGCGTGCGTGCGTGCGTGCGTGCGTGCGTGTGCGTGCGTGCGTGTGTGTGTGCGTGCGTGTGTGTGTGTGTGTGTGTGATATGGTCAGGGAGATGGAAATGCAACACAGGCGCTGAGTCCGAGGGAGGGGAAGGAAGCTTGCACTAAAGAATAATAAAATTACCGTACCGATCAGCGATATCAGTTGCAAGTTATGGTCAAAGAATCAATTACTGATGAATCAAGTCGATGTATAGTGAATTTTCAGCAGAACTGGATTGTTTAATAATGCCAGTCATTACAGAACAGCTTTCGCAGCTCAGAATCAATACGGATTCATGGAACATTCCGACAGAATTGAACTTAGATCCAAACTTTCATACCTCAGGCACAATAGACATTTTCAGGAAGCAATTTCTTTTGGAAATTGATATGCAGCGGACAGAGAATATTAAGCATTATAAGCAATTTGCTTATAATACAAGAGACTCAAGATGGGTGATAGGCGGAGAGTTGATCAACACGAAGTTCTCAAACAGTAAACGATGCCATATCACTACTATTGATTTAAATCAGCAGCTTGAGAGGTTTTGGAGTATAGAGGAAATATTGCTACATAATCAAGAGCGTTTATTTACATCACAAGAGAAGCAAAGAGAAGATTTCTTTTTACGCACGGTAAAAAGAAATTCGGATGGAAGATATATCATACGTCTGCCAACAGATAAGTCAATCAGACTAGGCGACTCAGAAAGCATAGCATTGTCAAGAGATTCTTGACAATGGAGAGAAAACTCAGATTGCGAGAAGAATATCACAAATTTCTAAAGGAGTACGAAGATTTAGGGCACACTTTCTTAAGAGCAATACCAGATTCCGCAGCAAGAAGAGAGATTTTCTATCTACCGCATCAATGGTAAAGTCAACCAGCATAACGACAAAATTAAGAATCGTTTTCGATGACTCGTCAAAATCAACCACAGGAACCACATCTTTGAATCAAAAATTGCTAACTGGGCCGAATCTTCAATAGAACTTGAGGAGTATCATCATCCGTTTCAAAGCACATCAATATGTGATGTCGGCATCAAAATGTTTCGGCAAATCTGGGTGTCAGCAGAGGACCGATCTTCACGGATCATTTGAAGGGAATGCCTCTACAGAGGCACTATGAATATACACTTTAAACACAGTGACATACGGTACACTTGTGCATCCTAGCGATGCGTTATCTATGGCATCCAACTATGCAACCAGAAACAATACCTGACAAGCAACAGTAGAAGTACTGCTTCACGACTTTTATATGAATGACAAATAGTTACATCGTGGAATAAGCAGTTAAATTAAGAAGAAAATTGTCAGAGCTACTAGAATTTTTATTCAGGAAATGGAGAGCAAATGATGCAACAATCTTAGAGGGCCTTTCGGACACAGAAGACCTATTGATTCTGAACAACCATTGAAGACATTAGATCTGTTTTGGGATCTCACGATACAATTACAATTTTCAGTAAATTTGAATGAAAGTGACAAAGCAAGCGTAGCATTTTATCCCAGATAGTGAGAATATATGGCCCGTTAGAATTAATCCAGTTCTTATTAACGTTAAGATTACAATGCAAAATTTATGGAAGTTACAAATAGAATAGGATGATTCGGTCCCAGCATTTTCTGAGATGGTTTAATTATTATTATTCATTATTAGAGCTTAAACAGATCAAGATACAAGAAGCTTTAATCCATCTAACAGCAGTTAAATATTTACTTTATTTGGATTTGGAAATGCCTCAAAAAAGGCATATGATGCCTGCTTATATTGTATTTATGAAACAAAGCAAAAGGAACGTAAGTCTCATCTTATATGTTCTAAGAGCCGAGTGGCATCACTGAAGAGTACAACGCTACCAAAGCTAGAGCTATGCGCAGGTTTATTATTGGCTAAATTAACAGCGGCAGTAATCGAAGCATTGAAGATTCCCATAGAAGCGATTTACCTGGAATGATTCTACAATCGTACTTGATTGGATAGCAACAGAATCGTACAAACTGAAAACGTATTACGCAAATAGAGTCACAGAAATACACTTTTTAGTACCATTAACCAAATGGAGTCATATGCAGACAGTACAAAATCCAGATATATCCAAAAGCACAGTCAAAGAACTAATAACCAACGAATTATGATTGCATGAATCGCCTTGGCTTACATGCCCGCAAGAATAGCCCAGTGCATCCGTAAAATTAATTTTTGTGTTATTTCGAAAATAGAAGGTTTGCATTTCCATAATAATTACAAAAGCTTTTAATGTTTATTTTACTATTTTAAATTGATTATGTATTAATATTCGACTAAACTGTTCAGGAATTGATATACTTTTACCTTAGAATCTGTTGATAAAGAAAATTATATGTTTTTATTTATTATATCTTCATAATATTCGATATGCGTTTCCTTAAACGTTTATTGGTTTTCATTTGCAAGATATGTGAAATATTCGTATTAAAAAATATAAAACGTCTATTAGTAATAACGTAAAAGCACTAAATGCGGATGAGGCACTCCGGATCACACATTATATTTAAATATTAATGGAGAATACATTCTTGCAATATTCTCCATTAAATGATGCATATCACAAGATTCTTTAGCATTTGTTTTTGTCTTTTTCAAATGCCATTGTTTTTTATTTATTAGTAACAGATAAAGATAATTAAAGCATGTATCTTTAAAAACTCATTTGATGAGTATAACACCATATTGCCACTACCAGAATTGCCTTATGCTTTTATAAGAGGTAATAAATAGCATTAGATTTTATGAAAGAAATCAATATTATGCTTAATTGAAATTAAATCTAGAAAGGATAAAGCATTTGGTGAACTGATCCGCAATTAGTATATGGGCTTTAAATGTGAATAATCATTATTACTTCATTTATGGCATTTTACAATTACCATCTCCTTGTAAGGCATTATCATCTCGTGATTACTATAAAACAGGTTTTAGATGTTTAATAAATGTAAAGAATTTTTACGTACCTACTTTTTCAGTCAATTTTTGGTTTTTCTTTAACTCCTTAAGTACATTAAAAGCATCATATTTGGAAATATTATGTTTTTTTCTGTAATTTACAATATCCGTAGCGAAACGAAAACAAAATTGCATTAATTCGGCATCAAACAAATAATAGCTAATTAAATCATATAATTTATTGTGTGTTACTTTATCTGGTAGCAATTGTTTGAGTATATATTTCCATGAACCTTTATTGAATTTTTTCGCATATTTACAAATTTCAATCTCTTTATCTTGGAAAGTCTTGATTTCATAATTTAGTAAACAGACACTAGAGTAGTCAGCGGTAAGTTTCTCCGTCAGTTCGCTACAATTTATATATTTATTCCTCAATAACAGCGAATTGTCCAACCAATTTTTGAAAACCTCCGAGCGTTGTATTAATAAAGATAGCATACTTTTAAGTTTACTAGGTGTGAAAAGTGGCGATAGTTTTGCTTTTATATATTCTTCTCCTTTTTTCCAAAAAAACGTGTCCATTATCGGTTCAGCCTGTATATAAATATTAGATAAAAATGGTAATTACATAAAAATCATGTATTAAATAAATATAATATATTAAATAAATATAAAATTCGTGTCCGATTCTAATGGATATTTTTATTGATGTTGCATACACTGGCTATACGAGATAGTTCGAAAAGTTTTCCCTTATAAATCTATTAACTTCTATAAATCTATAAATCTATTATAAATTTATTAACTTGGTAAAAAAAACATATGATGTTTGACAATTTCTTTTATTTTTTAAATAATTCCTTTTCAGATCAATACATTATTCCAACAATATTCTAATTTTTTTATACCATTCGTATAATATGATTTTCTTTAAATCTTTAAGATAAGCATTAGTTTTATCGATTATTTTAGTATTTGAATCAGATCTTTTTCCTGGGAGGAAAATCTGATTACATTTCTTTACATTTGAAGAAAGGAAAACGTCACTGAATGCTAAATCTGATAAACGAAAATCAATTGGAAACGCAAATCATGCAATTTTGTGATTGCAATTGAAGAAATGCAATTAGATACATCGTCATGATAAATAAGACCGTAATGTATCCGAAATATCATTTAAAAAATATTGAACTAATAGTCAAATTTCCTTAAAAATGATTATT